CCCAATTAAAGAATATTAAGAAGCTGAATCTTATCCAACGTGTTGTCCAGTAAAGACGAGTGGTATGCAATCCTGCATACTGAACTCGCCCTTGAAATGTCTGTGGAATATTGAAAGGATTAACCAATCACAGTCGCTAATTTAGATTGGATCATTCTAGTCTCATAAGCTCCTTTGTAGAATCAGTTGATCACATGTAAATTCAAAAACTGGCCCTATAAAATGTTGGATTCGGTGATCACTTTCTGTTTTAAAAAACTGTAGAGAGGTTTTGCTCCTCTGGATTTGTGCATCCTACATGGTTATTTACTGTTATTTTCATTTTTTGGCACCTCTCATTTAATGCTTTTGTGCATTTATATGGCAGTCCTTAGATAACGTAATTGCAGAAGCGAGAAAACATGGAATAAGGCTGATACTAAGCTTGGTTAATAACTTGCAAGCATATGGTGGAAAGACTCAGTACGTTCAGTGGGCATGGGAAGAGGGTGTTGGTTTAAGTGCTTCTAACGATTCATTCTTCTACGACCCATCAATTTTGGGTTATTTTAAAAACTATGTCAAGGTAATCTTATATCCATTACTTTTCTTTACCCTTTTCATTGAAAAAGATGTTAAATGTCTCAAATTTTATTGCTAAAATATAATTGAGGATTTTATTTTGTTTTGTTGGTTGGCAAAAGTTGTATACTCCATTTTCTGTCAGACTTTTTAGTTTTCTTTCCAAATATAGGAATATGACTTCTGTGTACTATCTATCCATCATGATGCTGCAACTTATTTGATGTTTTGGTTTCTATTTCTATCAATTCTTTACCAAGTTTCAATGTTCCTGTGGCGAAAAAGACAACTTCGAACCATAGGAGATATTGCCATTTTAGAATTATTTGATATAAAAGATAAACAATATTTTTGGTATATTAACTGTTTCTCATTATCAGACATATAATTGGAAAATCATAGAAGGCGAAGCATAAACTAGAATATGTATCTGCCATCCATGCTTGACATTACTTTGGCATAGAAAAATTCCTGTGCTGTTCTATAAAATTCTTAATCAAGTTTTTTGGAACCTCATTTTGATTGGTTCCACTTTCTATACTAGTTAATCTAACTACAATGAAAATTCATTATTCTCTACCGTAATTGGAAATGAGTTAATCAACCAAGCTCCTAAAATGCTTCGTTTTAGATTCTAAAATCATGTGTGGGAGTGGTTTATAACGATTTAATTTATAAATAGATAATAATGAGTGATGGATAAATGGATAATACTTATAGGTGCTACAGCATATATAGGTGATTTGGCCGTTTATGAACTCATAATAAATGGCAGCCAAACATGGGCGTACTATAAAGACGTGCTAAAAGAATAAGAAATGTATAATAGCTTCAAGTTTCAACCTAGTTGACTTGATTTTACCAAAGGTGGTGTGGCACATGAATTCCTAGTCATTTATGTGCTGCTCTAGAGATTGTTTCTCATTTTCTTCCAAAACCATGCTTGTTGCCATTTTATGCCATTTACAAAAAATTATAAAAGCTTAAGTGGTCAGGACATGCTTTGTGCAGGTCTCTCCATCTAAAGAAGTTTCTAAGAAATTTAGTAGAACATGTTAGAAGAGTGGATCTATTTAATAGGGCGATATGTGGTTGCAAAATATTTAATTTCATTGGATGTTCATGTGGTTGCAACAGATGTAATTTCGTTGGATGTTTCAATAGACTTGTTGTTTCTCCAATTGTTATACTGAAGTGAAAAAATAATTTAGAAAGAGGCAGGAGTATCTGGTGCATAAACAAATAATTTACCCTTTGCTGGAAATCGACAAACATAGGAAGAAGTATCCCCCTTACTGGTTTGTTTATAAAATCCTTCATTGTTAATCTTTACATACTCGATTCATGGCATCTGATTTCAACTTATATAGCAACTCAAAGCAGAAAGATAGAAAATATTCGTTGTATGTATACGTGAATACAATCTTAATCATATCCATTAGGCCAGTAATTTGGGATTGGGAAAAATTTGTTCAAGTATTAATCCTGTGAATTACTTTTGAAAGGTTATGTGCTCTTTGGCGTGACTTTTGAATTTTTAGTCAATGGGGGTAATATACAAGGTCTTCTAGTATATATAATGGTATGAATAAACGTAGCAGCACAGATTTTCTGACTAGGAAGACGTGGTGCAGGAGCAGAATTAATAATGAGAAAGGAAATCAAATGAGAAAGTTAAAGAACAAAAGCGAAAACAAAGGATTCTTCCTTTTTCTCCATTCTTTTACCATCCATATAGAAGCATAAAAATGCAGAAAAAAATAAGCCTCTTTACTTTGTTTTTTCTTCTTTTGCCTTTCTGCTTATTCTTGTTCTTGGTACAACAAATCACATCAAGTATCCCAAGTGCTCCCATACCAATATTATGAATTCCTGATATAGTTCTGCCTTTTCTCAACGAATTATGCTTGGATAAGTGTTTCTTTTAGCACCTTTTAAGTTATTAGCTATGCGTTAGTTTCCTTTTCTGCACTCTGTAGCATGATTAATAAAATGTACATTATGTCTCTTTTTCGTCATTCTACACCAGTGGAGTTTGTTCCATATCATCATTAAATTATATTACATAATTGGCAGACAGTGTTGACAAGGAAGAACACATTCACTGGAATTGAATACAGGGACGATCCAACAATCTTTGCATGGGAGTTAATTAATGAACCGCGCTGTATGACTGATGCTTCTGGTGACACACTCCAAGTATTTTGCGAATTTCTCAACCCCCATTAATGCGACAGTGTTAAGCTTTCTTGAACTTAATTTGTTTCCAATATTTAGAATGCCAATTACATAATTTCAGGCTTGAGACTGTGTTCAACACACAGTTGAATCCTCTAATAGAGTAATAATGACATTAGATTGCTGTCTTGAACTTTATCTTTTCTGTTTTTACTATAAAGACCAACAGCATTAGTAAGACAGGCTGTGCCATGATTAAAATTTTGAGACTTCACATGTTTCTAGCATTTCCTTATCAATCCCTTAAAAAATTCACCAAAAATGACTGTCCATACAAATCGGAGTGACACATAGTGATTGAGAAAAAAGTTGTCCTTGTAGTTTTGAACAGTTTGCAGTTCATGTGGCTTCTAATCTTTGCCTTACAAAATTATAGTCAGAGCATGTTTGGCTGAGTTTGAGAAAAATAGAGGTTCGTTTTCTGTTAGTTTTTCTTTCCATGTATGTTTAGATAACTAACTTTTCTCTTAATTTAAGTAAAAGAATATTTAATTATTTTGAAGTAACTTTTACCTTATTGTCAAAATAAAGAATTTATTTGCTTATAACTTACTTATTTACTCATAAGCTGACTTCTTAATCTTAGCCTAACGTGACCGTTCTCGTTTATCAAATTTTATCCTTCCAGACCGGAATTTTGAGCATGTAATTTATCCAAGCTCACATTTTTAAGAAGTTGCATCTATAACTTTTTAAACACCTTTCTATCATCCTTTTGTATGAATTGTCTTTCAATATCTTTATCCATTCTCAGACAAGTAAACAACTGAAACGAGATTATTTTGGTGAGATTGTTTGACGTATATGAACTGTATCTCGTACAATTACAGGATTGGATAGAAGAAATGTCGAATTTTGTGAAAGCAATTGATAGAAAGCATCTGCTGACTGTTGGCCTCGAAGGATTTTATGGTCCTAAAAGTCCGAAAAGGTTAACTGTTAATCCAGAGTTCTGGGCAGCTGATCTTGGATCTGATTTCATTCGCAACTCGAAGATATCAACTGTTGATTTTGCCTCGGTTCATATATACCCTGACCACTGGTGAGCTGTTCATCTATTCATTTATCTACCTTTATATAATAAGCCGCCCATTTTGTCCAAATCTTTTTCACAATTTATCAAAGATTAGAGCATTTTTATTATAATACCTTAAATATCAAAGACTAAAGGCACAACTTCACAAACCTCTATGAGACAATAGAAATGAAGAAGTGACAATGGAAAACTAAAGGCAACAATAACAAAAACCAACTAAGAGCATGTTAGGTTGTACTTAAAAGCACCTGTCGGCTACATGAATCCTTTTTATCCACACCAATCCGTTCATTGCTAGATTGACTTGAAGATCTAGAACAACTAAATGAGCCCATTTCGGTTTCAATCTACCGCTCTCTCTTCTGACTTGCTCTATGGAGATTGTGTCACTCGTAAATGTAATTTTGTTATACCATATATATATATAT